CCTTAACTTATACAGTGGACGTTACCGTCCGTTTGAGACGCGAATTCTCCATATTGGTGTACCAGAAACTGGAACATCCCAACCACACGAGTCATTCACCTTTTAAACCGTAGTCAAAACGCAATCCCTAAGTGGTCCATCAGTTTAAGATGATCACACGGTACAGTCCCCCCCCGACTGGAATGGCACGCAAGTTTCATCTCCCTGCGAGTGGGGTCACAACCATGGAACGCCCTTCCATCACATAAATTAACGCTCCCACCCTATCCCTTAATCCAAAAAACCGCCATGACGAACTCTGACACGATAGCACAATGTTGAAAAAACTGAGGCGAACCAATCGGAAGAATGGAATTAGTGAAAAGCAAACGAGTGGAGCAGGATCCCCTTAAAACACCTATTGGATTACTGTTAAATGTATCATCACCAAACCCTTGGTGAGTCCAGCATATTTCACACGTTACTTTCATCAAAACTATTTTTTTTAATTTTTGCGATGTCAATTCTCATCAACCTACAGTCGCAGTTGAGTCGCGCTTCTGAGGGACCACAGACCGCTTTCAATGTATTCAGAATCATCGATCACGAGACACAGTCTATACCAACTCACGACACACATACAGTACGCACCACGCACATTAATGCTGATATTCTATCACTCTTTTCTGCGGAGGTACTCTCAGCCCGTCTTAATCTCCTCACCGCATGCGCCCATTCTCTCTCTACGATCGCTTCATGTAGACAACCACGAGAGATCGTTACATTACCTCCCCCGGCTTCTCTAAGATAATTGATAGAGCAAGATCTAGCGCGTGTTCACGTCGCCTAGCGACCACATGGACACAGGACACACCCTCGTTTTCATCCATCGCTAGTGCTGGTCTCTTTCGTCTTGCGTTGCGCATCCAGTACAAGACGCAACACCAGACACCCGCGACATACAGTGTTTGCACACTACAGCCTGCTGACATGACTTCACGATTGACGGATACGGAGCGCGACAAAATATAGTCTCGGACCTTCCTAACGACGTGATCAACACACTTCCTTTACCGACTCGCGTTTCCCAGACGCATCATATCACAACGGACGACCTCTCGACCGCGCATTAGGCGATCCTAGGACCTCTCACATCCAACAAAGGCGAAGAACCAACGGGCTGTCGTGACCTAGCACCATTGCGCCTTTGCCAGCGAGGAAGATCACACCCTTCCCGGGCAAAACCCAAATTATCACAAAATCCTCCTTGCATCCCGACTCACAACCACTGCGACCGGGGGCACGACAAATGAAGAGCTGAGGTCTGTGTGTCGATGCAGTAGATAGTGGAATAGATTACAAGCCCCAATTGATACTGCGAGCGTGATTGGAGTACACAACTTGGATCGTCGTGGTACTCCGGATTCTCTGTAGAGACGTGTCATCTTCCTTGCGTCCATCCGCGGTGCCGATTCTCTGACGCCAATATCGAGCTTACTTAAAATCCGAGATCCGAAATGAGTCATATCTCTAGCCACGACGCAGTATATGCCGCTCCTCAAGGCCTACCACCACATCATTCCGAGCACATCCTGCGCTCAGAAGCGTGACTACGCTGGATTCTCTCACTGTGAGTAACTCGGCATAACATTATGAAATTAATGTAAGTAGCACACACAGAAATTTTCTTATTCTTTCTCCGAGTGCACATCATACTGATTTATTATACGCCCAACACAATCACCGCGTCTTCGCGATGTGAGTCACACAGCCGGACTCTCAGGCATGCGATGTACGCAGCGGGATCGTTCATAAACCACTGCTTGCGCAGTGTTAGAAGGTATTTACTATCTCATCTTAATACATTGCGAAAGGAAGACCTCGTTTCTCAACAGCTTACCTCGAGCACATCTTTTACTACACCTAGACAGACAAACGGAATCTACACCGCAATAACTTCTCCCCGCATCTCTGAGCGCTATTCAACGACTCCCGGGCGAGCTTCTGGACGATGGTCACATACACTATCGATTATTTCCCAGTGATCCGTGCCAGAGCTACTCACGCGCGACTGGCCTCTCTCGTCAACACCCGCAACCTCATGTTATAGGACACACACAGATCAGCTCACTACACGCAGTTTATACACATTCTTCTGAGCCGTACAAAGCGTACAAATGGCCACACTTGTTCACTTTATCAGTTTTATACACACGCGAGATAGAAACAACGTATATACCTGAACGCGCACACACCTCATTGTCTTCGTGAGAGAGTCCACTATATATTGTTCCGCACAGGCAATGCGTGGCTATCTCACAGACACATTGCCACAAGATATTAGAAGGGGTACGTGTTACAAATATCTACAAGTACATTGAAAGTAGAGACAGTGTTGTTGTGATTTATCGTGTCACATTCACGATCTAGCGCGAGAGCAAGCCACTACGTTTTCAAAACTAAGTCAGGCACATACATGGTGACTAACTTCGATAGCAAACACTTCACAAGTCACAGCATCCACTCACACTACTAAAATGGAGAGCCCCACATAGTCCGGCTCTCCCCGTGACCCAACGATTCTCCCTCAATTGGAGTCATGTTACCCCTCTGCGCAGCCACCCCTGAGAGTGTGCGCTCGAGTAGACTTAAGGCGAAACCTGCGATGGCACACACTAGACTTATCACTATCAATAATCTTTTTGCACATATTTTGTAACTCCCCCTACGCCGATTCTAGGAACTCTAGCCATACAAAGTGAATTATCCCTGTCACCGATTGTGAGAGCGACTAAGACCGCCAAAATTACAAACTTATTAGCAAACTTTTATAGTTTTACGGAGATAGATCAAAACGAGACACAGTATTGACGTTAGTTCTCTCACGTTTTTCTCTGCGTCTTCTATATATCTTAACTCTGTGCGCGTTACTAGTCTGTGCTCATTATTCTATACAGCAAACACAACTATAATCCAAGACATTACCTCTAGATAAGTCACGATCAGTTTCATCATTACCATCTAGCACACCCTATGAAAGCTTGCTCCGCATCTCCTACAGTGTACTGCAGTAATAATTCTTTTGAGCTGAGAACCACAGTCTCTATGACACACTACCCCTATCTGAGAGCATAGTACATAGCAACTAACAATCCCAACTATCCCGAGATGCTCCATTATCTACATACATTCTCTGCACACACACCAGAAGACACAGACCACAACACCAAGTGCCATCACATATCAATTACTCTCTACGATCATTGTCAGAGCAGGCAGCAAATTAATTCGGACTAATCTCGAACTACTATGCTGCGCTCAAGACTTATATGATGATACATCAACATAGACTAAACTACATCATAAAGATTATTTGATATGAAGATTTGCTTTCAACTAATTATCCACACATGAAATATAGTGTTTAACATCAATATGTGTCATAAATCTAATCGGGTTAGCAAGCTAAGATGCCATCCAGAATGCTAAGGACAGAGTGTTTGCAATTTAGTATTATCTAGCCTTCTCTTACCAGTATATATTGCGTGCGTATCTTTCACAACGACAACTATGCTTCTGAGACTATCAGGGAATACGTTCTTCTGCTCTCCTAGCAAACGATTATCCACTATGTGTGTGATTACTACATCATATGCTGCGTATTATATGACACAGACACACTGAGAATACAAAACAAGCAGTCCTTGTCCCTTCTTATTATAGCACAATTCACACAATGAAACACACTAAATTTCTACTCTGCCTATACCATGTAACTATTCTTCAATGACACACGGCGTATCAAATGTCATTACACTGCCTGATCCCATCTACATATCATTAACACCGGTCTGTATCCAAAGTTTCTGTTAACTATCAGAGCGCGAGACATCTAATTTCTCTGATGCTGTGTAAGACAGATCATTCTACTAGGGATCTACTGGAGGAACAGTGGATCTAGAGCAGTGTACTACATTAACACACGTTTAAAGTAAATTTTGTATATACAATCTTATGAAATTTATTGATTAGTATAAAGGAGAGTAATAGGGAATGGTGTATATTAACAACCTACTAACAGAGGCGTAGTCCATATGATTGTAAGTTTCACGTCATACACGAGTTATAAGCAGTGCAGATCTATCACGGATAGAGCTCTTCTATCTATCTCTATCTAGAGTACATAGTGATAACAAGAAATTAAGTTAGCTCTTGGACCGAAAGGATCTAGTTTAGGAAGTAATCATCTTTGCTCAAATTTTTAGTGTAAGATAAAATTCTATGACATACCGCAGATATGTCATTCATGTAGTCACAATTCAAGGTCAAGATAACAGAATTTGCTGTTACACTTTTAACTACGTATGCGCGCAGAAGTGATTTCTAGAGAGAGACAGAGCGTACAATTTCTGTTATAGTACATGCACACGTACATTACATCAAGTCATTTAGACTGACTGAGCAAAAAATGTATTCACTCATGAGGCTATACAGATCAGCTTATGTGTTCTTTCTATCACAATTGGCTTTCTTAATAATTATTTTGGTAGTTTTTAGTGTTGTATGTGAGTCTTTAGCGCTATGATGAGTAGTTACGATTTGCTATAGGTTTTTACACACTCATTAGTTGAGACTATAACACTTAGTGAGTAATGACACACGTGTATAGGACTTGACACTTCACATTATATCACTATTGTATTTACGTGTTGCGCGCGATGTGTCATGTGCACTAATGTGAATACACATACTTATAGAGTGTCATAAACAAGAATCTAGACAGCAAGTGAAACGGATGATGATATACATACACACTAGACACACAACATTTTATACTATACACTTACGTGCATCTTATGTTAACACAGCGCGAGATGTATAGTATGTGAGTGTTACAGCTCACATAATTACAGGCTTATAAAGTACGTTATATGTCTGGTGTGACTGTGTTCTATCAATTCAACGGGCTATCTACATTGTGGGGATACATGTAGCTTTCAATAACGTGTATTTTCTATATCTGTCTCAGGCAATACACAGTCTATCTGTTAATCATGTGAATATTAGGGTTGTGTCTACTGATACACTCGTCATATCTGTCTGACGTAATGTGTGGATGCAATTTTATATTTTAGTGAGGTTTTATAAGGTGATTATGATTAATTATTAAATTGTTTTCGCGGATTGTTTGCGTCACAGCTCAGCTGGTCTGTTGACCTATCACTTACCTTCACTGGCGTGTTGATACACTCGGCGACCCTGTAGGCATACACTGTTGACCAAGCGTCTGATTGGAATGGCTACATCTGGCCACTGAGACTCTCCTAGCGCCACCATCTGTCGGTCGTCGTAAATTCGGCATCTCTGTTCAGAAGTAGCTAGTGGCCATTGGCCCCATGCATATGCGATGATCCAGTGCTTGTTGGGAGCCACTCCGTATCTCAAAAACCTTTATTCCTTTAGAATATCTGCATCCAATCCTTCCGCTGCCCTGCCACCAATTGATCTTTAGGACTCTCTCGCGGCAACCTATTTATTTTCGCTTATTATGCCATCCCTCTCGGATTACGCTAACTACGTGCTGTTCATGCACCTGAGAATCACTACCAATATTCTAACTCCTTTGTTCTATCTCCACGCAATTATTGGCTCATACTAAACGGATACTTCGTACTTTACCTACTGGTACAACGCTCTTGTCTCTATGCAGGCGTTAGCAACCACCCGTAGGGCAAAGGATTCTATGGGATATTCAAATGACATTTTCAGCGTAATTATTGTTGCACAGCGTACATGCTTTTGTCCCAAACCCAAATGTTGTAACACAAGACGTTAACAGTGTTCAACTCCATGCCTGTTCTTGCGGTCTTCTCTCGCTTGTCCTTCACTTTCCCTTTTCTCTGAGGTCCGGGACTTCTTGGAGATC